TGTAGGTTTTACAGTTGTATAGAACTAATATATTCAACTTTGTTGTTTACTTAATGAAGAACCTTGGCTTTCACTGATTACTTCTTCTATAGTTCTAGAATGCTCTTTAAACCATCACCACAAGATTGCGACTCTTTTTCAACTTTATTTCAATGTTTAATAATGCATGTACAGTACTCCAGAAAGGTTTTCATAAAGTTTAATATATTAACTATATGATAATTATTATTATTATTATTATTATTTTATAATTGATATGTTCTAACTAATTTAAGCAATATTATAGGTATACAAATTTTTTATCCTTCAAAAAAATACTCAAACATTTGCACTAATCCTTTTTGACTATTGAAATTAAACAAAAAACAATTAATAAACAATAGATTACCTTTAAAACTATTAGCAAAACTACACAAATCTAGTTATATTCTTTGTTTAATTCAACTTTAAGATATAAATTATAAAAGCTTATTATCTTTGGTTCAAAAAAAAACAACAACAAGTATAAAAAAGGCAAAATAAAAGATTAAAGTAATTATTTACTTAATTTTACTTATTTATGATTAAAATTTAATTTTATTTAATTTTTTTTGAATGTAGTATCAATATAATAAAATATTTTATCCAAGCTTTAAAACAATCTTAACTTCAACCTTACAAACTATTAATGAACACTTAGTAACTGTAACATCTAAATTACCAAATATGACCCTTTAACAGTTATCTAAAATACATCTTATTGTTACTTTTAATTGTAACCTATAGTACTTAAAACTTATCAGTCTATTTTAACTACAAATCCTCAACTTATAGGTAATCTAGAAACACTAATATACAGATTAGACCTGACATATTAACATGTTTTAAATGTCATTAAGTGCTAAATATAATTAGTTAAACATAATAATTGTGTTTAGTTCTTTTGCTATAGTAAAGCTAAGTTTATGTATAAAATACAATAAATGCAACATTATGTTTAACAAACAATTAAATGCTATAAAAACAAGAAACTAATAATGATAATAATGTAATTGAACATTGCAATTAGCATTAATAACCAAAAAGAAGCAATTAATTATTTTTTTACATTATTTATTTCTGTTCTTTTTATTTTTTGTTGCTTTTTTTTTATTATATGCATGATAATAGCTAATGTTATAGTACTGCAAGTTTATTTGTTGAATCACGTGATCATACATTTAGTTAGTACAGTAATATCAACAAAGTAATGAAATTTTGGGATACATCTAAGTGTATCAACAACGTATCAATTTTGTAAGTTTTGCATCGCCGTCAAAATTTTTCACTTTCACGTGACCACGTTTAAAAATCTTTAAATTCGTTTAAGTTAGGGTTAGCGTTTATAATAAGGCTAGGTTTTAGAGAAGTAATAGTAAAATCACTCGAGGAATTTTTTTGTTAGAGCTCAAAAGGTGGTTTCTTATGCAAGTTTTTGAGGAATAAGCGATTTTTGAAAAGCGAACGTGATCTTCCTGATCGTGTAACGTTACATTAAAACGAAACACACTATTGGATGATCATCACGTGAAGTGAAAATTTGACGGCGATCCTGGGGTAGTTTGGGTATGCCGAATCAAACTACATTTGCTTTGATCGTGTTACGTTCCACCTTAAATCTGTTTCGTAATTTGATTGGTTAATTATCACGGGACACCATATTCACGAATGACGTATAAAATTAAATCAAAACAAATTTTATTCTGAAATTTTGAAAACCTACTAAACCTACTCCAGTTTCAAACGCAATTTCAACCTTTAATATCGAACAGACACTCTTTTAATCTCTGTCCAAGTACCTTACATAAGTCAAAAATACAAAGTTAAGTATGCTTTTGTGCAAGGGTATTTCATTATCGACAGGCTTACCGTGTAAACGCCCTGTTGTATCGGACAATTATTGTTTTCATCATAAAACCCAGATAAATGGCGGAAGCCCGTTCGGTATACCCTCTCCAACACGAAAGAATCAATTGCCACACAATAGCGTGAGGAATGATAGCGAGGATGTTATTGATCTGTCTATTTCAGATTCACATGAAAAAAGATTTGGAGAAATATCCACAAAGTTATCTACTCTGTCGCTAAATAGTCAAAAAGGAAATGTCGATAAAGTGCAACAAAGGTTGAATAGCGAATTATCAAAAGATTCTTCTACCACAGTAGTGATGATAAGTCTGGACAATAACGTTAAAGTGCATATAACGCAATCAAAGAGTCCTAATAAACTTAATGCCAATACTGACGTTTCAATATCATCTGAAGAGGGAAAAAAATCAAACAAAATTCATCGGTCCAAGACCCCTCCACCTCCACCAATTCGCTTACCGATAGATTCCAGTCCTGCCATACCGGACGATAATTTTATAGAAACTATCAACAAGGAGTTTTTCCAAACTCCTTCAGTAATTTCTCCAAACAATGAATTGCCGACAGTTCCATGGCTATCGTCGTCACCAACATTATCAATGCGTACAGCATTGCCACTGGTGATAAAACGGCCAGTAACACCAACAAAGCAGTTGTATATTGACTTAACAAAGGATTTTACAGCTTCTAAGAAAGATCTTTCAAGAAAAAATCGAAAGGCTGAAAAGGGCTCTGGACGAAAAATTAGGAAGGGAAAGGAGGTGATTGTTGCGCAAACTGATGAATGTGAAAGGATCCTATTTGTTCCCGGACGTTCTAAACTTGTTTGGGTAAAATTTGATGGTACATATATTTTTGTGTCATATATATATATATTAGTGTTAGGGAATTAATTATTAAAATTTTTTTATTAGATTGGATCAATCATGGTCTTTCAGAGGAAACCAAACGACAGTTGAAGTCAGAAATGGAGAAACCAATTTCTGATAAGGACGAAGCTGGTTTCATATATGCGTATAGGTTGGTAGAAGGTAATAAGATCATTTATATATACACTCTTTACTCTCTTTAGGATTATAAAATTACTTTATTAACCAAATTTTCTTCATTACCAAGGTCTTTCAACACAACGTGACTCTAATCTCACACTATACAAAGTTGGTAGAGCCACCAATGTCCACCGGCGTTTATATCAGTGGTCTCACCATTGTGGCTATACGCCTGAATTGATCGAACTTTTTCCTCATATCAATCAAACGAGCTCATTTAGTTCTCATGAATCGTTTTTGGAAACATTGTTGAATGAAGAAAGTGATGGCAGTAACTCATTCAACGATGAACGGTTAGAACAATTCGCTCATATCCCAAAGTGTAAATATACACATCGAGTTGAGCGCCTTATTCACATAGAATTAAGTGAAAAGTTTAGAGTAGATTTGGGGAAGTGTTCGGGATGTGGGAACATTCATAGAGAATGGTTTCAAGTAAGAGCAGGTAACGACGGTTGGGAAGAAGTACGAAAAGTCATTGTCCATTGGATGACTTATGTTGAAAAGCATTATGGAGTAGGATAAAAATTTTTCCCTTCATTTTTGATGTAATAGACAATGTTTTTATTATATGATGCTATATTTAATACCGATATACTATGTATGAAAAATATAGTACACTAAAGAAAATAAAAATTTTTGGCTTGGACACTTTTCAAGTACT